AGTTCAGGTGGCGAGCTCAGATGCGAGTGCGATGTTTGGGGAAAAGAAACGCCCATCGGTCAGTTCACACCTCGGTGTGATCCCGTCTGGGGATCATTTTAATCTCCTTGGGATCATTGTACCTTTTCATGGAGTTTTACAACGCTTGTGATCACATTCACGAGAGTGGATGATCTTTGACGCGACGGGCAGTTCTTTAATCTCAATTTTTAACTCTTGGTTGATCGGCTGTGCCCGCCCGGGTGTTTGTTCCGTAAATTATGATCAGAAATGCCGGCACTTATTCTTTCATTAAGCTTCAAATGTACTCAAAATGTACTTTAAAAATACTCAAAAGTACTTTTATAAAAAGTATAAAAGTACAGTTAAAAGTACTGGTTCTCAAAATGTACCGGAGTACAGTAAAAGTACCAAAAATTGTAACGCAAGTACAAGTACCGGAGTACTTGTACTCCGTTACAACCAGCTCTGTTCAGAAATATTTCTGCACAGGTGAGCCACCCCCTAAGAAAATCATAGTTTTGAGAAAACTGAAAAAAAACAACAACAACGAATTCATACTGGTCTATTTCAACAAAATGTTCACAAACATGGCATATGCGAGCACTTTATAAAAGTTTTAGACACTTGAAAATATTTCCAATCGATAAAGCAGATTGCTCTACTAAAATAGTCCAAAATAGAAAAATTGGTTTTTGATACCAAGATCGAGTTTTTCTTACTGTCAGCTACTGCCTGCCGTGGGGTACCTTAAATCCTATTAACCTTATTACATACAATGTAGTTCTAGATCTCTAGTTTGATTCTTCTTCCAACAACAAAAAAATGTGATCAGTAGGCCTAGCCACAGCCATTGTCTATCTGTGCATGTCATTTGTGTTCCTTGTCTTATTGCAGGTGTATTTGTTTATATGTTTTTGAAAGGAATGTTGTACCTTGAATGGTCCAGCTGAGTATTCATACACATTTAATTTGATTCTCCTTTCATTGCGAAGTAGACTATGGGCTACTGGACCCCCCCCCCCCCCCCTGGGGATTTTTGCTCACTATGATTTTCTGAAAGAGCACACCCAGGACTTTGCACGCAAAAAAGTTTGCACCCAAATGTTGGCAATCTGCGGAGTTATTGCCCCTGAATTGTCGAAAATTGAGCAAATTAACTTTTTTTTAAAATTCACTTTTTTAGTTGACATTCTGATTTTCTTTTAATTGAGACTTAAGTTGGCGTTGTGGGTTAAATAAAAACAGTTATATTGAACATTTTGTGGTAGTTATTTACATAGCTTATAGAGAAAAAAATAATGTTTTAAGTCCGTTTTCTCTAAAAATTGAAAACAGCTGCACAAAGTTAGCGTAATATACTCCCTGCTGGGTATTACACAACAAAGGAAAAGCTACACATGCAAAACATTTAGTTCAACAGAAAATCAGTACAATGCAGAGTTACAGACAGGCCTTAGCAATGCAGATGGATATTGGCTATTTGTGTACATGATGTATTATATTGAGTTGTCTCGAACAAAGAAATTTATATAATTGACAAAAAGATTATATATAGCATCTAGAAATTAACTTGCATAGAGCATAATATGTAACAGAAGTGAGTTGCTTGGGTGCTAGTTATCCAAATGTTATACTGTAAGTCAGTTGATGTTGCATGTAAAGCCTTATTTAGATGCTTTCTATGTCATCAGTTCATCTTCACTGCTGTCACTTCCAGAATCTGAAATCTCATCTTCTTCATCACATATGATAGAGAAGATGGCATGCACGATCAGCAGTGTGTCTGCTTCCTCATGGCTGGAGGGTAACTCTGGAACAGGTCTTGAGTCTGTAGTCTTTCCATCACTGCTACTGAGGACAAAGCACTGTTGGTCACTGGCAAAGTATATTTCTCTGTTCAGCAACATCATTGCATAACAATCTTGTTGCCATACATAAAGTAAGAACTGTGTCAGTTGCCTTTTGTTTTCATTATTCATATGGAACACTTTGAAATCTTTGATACTCTGTTATCAAGGTGGGTTCCACCTTAGAATTGATAAAACACGGGTCAAGCTGTTTTTTTGGTATATGGATTGATCCTTACATTGTTCTGTCAACCTCTGGTGTCGGCTGGGGAATGTATGGCTGCTCTTTGATTTCTCGTATGACTAGTCCATGAGTTGAATGTGTGGATCCAGTTCCTGATAAAGTTTCCTCATTCAAGTCAAAATTGTCCAAACAGAAGTGAGTGATGAGTTTGTTGCCAGGCATGATGGATGGGGGCAAACTACCTGAAGAAACATGTATACTGTCCCACATGGCAGTTTCCTCTTCTAAGAGAAATGAGTGGGATACAGAATGTCCATGCCGGTTTAAGATATTGATCAGCTGAGTGTTTCCTGTTGGATGACGGACACATATATACCAATCATAATATGTTAAGGCTTTTTCCATTCCCCTTTCGTCACATTGTAGCATATGTCCTGACCTGTAGAAACAACTCTCCTGTGGTATCTTGTTGACTGTGTTTTTCCATTCTTAGAGTAAAGAAAAGAAAGAAATATTGTAAATACTTGTGGAATCTGCAAAGTTTCTGTTCGCAGATCTGTGTCTGCTGAAAGCCAAGGTAACTTTTGACTTTCATTGCATCCATCAAGAACAGATCGTCGTATCACCTTTGCCACTTCTATAACAAGTCTCTCTTCAGAGGTTACATTTTCAAAGGCAACTCCGACAGCCTGCCCAGTCGAAATTTCATCAGAGTACTCGAGATCACTTGTCCCAGAATATCTCTGCCAGAAGTTGATCCTGGACTTGATGTGCTTCACAAGTTTCTCCTCAACTTATATGTCTTGTAGTACTTGTAAAACTCTAGATAATTTGTTTGCATGAAAGTGCAATACATCTCTTTCAAAAGACTAATCCTAACAAGAAGGGCCAGCGCAGTGACATGTTCTTCCACAAACTGACGGACGTGCTGAAAAGCCTTGGAGTGGGCTCCTCTGCAGCTGGAGCTTTCTTTCTTTCTTCAGCGTCTGCCTTTTCTTCTCCAGAACAGTATTTAGATGTAGAAGCTTGTGAACGTCGATCCTCCTTACGTGTGTTAGCTTTTCTACATGGTTCATGATACCATGCCTGTTGGGCAATGAGAACAGCATTTTCAATTTGGCCCCGAAGTTTTGAGTCAGATTTCCTGTTTACAGCTTCTTTTACAGAGGCTTCAGATGTTCTGGTAACACATTTGACAAGTTTATGAACGTTCTTAGTTCCCTTGCTGTCATGTGTCCATTCAGTAGTCTTTTCACAGAAAAGGCATTGAATAGGCAAGAGGCGTGTTGAAAACGATTGCTTTACTTTTTTCCTAGTGGAGCAAGACCCTTCTTGTGCTGATTTGTCAGACTCTCCTGATGAATGCCTTTTTCTTGGACTCCTCAAATTGATGAATGTACTGTAGCAGTAATCATGAAACCCATGTTGAGCAGAGTCAAACTCAGTCGGTTTTCTTTCACAAATTGAGGATAGTCTATCACTGTCAGTTTCTGCAAGGTACCGTTGGGTTTTTGATTTTTGAATGGTGTCCCAGCGTCTCTCAGTGAGAGGTTTTGTTTAATCATGGCCTTTGAAGTTACAGTTATGCACTGCACATGTCCTTTCTTCAAGCGGTTCTTTCTTTTGAGATTTTGACCTCTCTTTCTTTGATGTCAAGGGAACTGATTTCAGTTCTATCTTGCTTAATTTTGAACATTCCATTCATTCTCTGAAGCATACTCGTATAAAGAAAATTGTACATTGCTAGAAAAACCAGACTTCAAAATTTTCACCTCTGTCTTCTTTTAAATTAGCTTTAACTAACAAAATGTTTTTCAAGACACCTTTATCATGCCCATATGATTGATCTAGACTATATCTGAGACGAAAGTATTCATGCCGCCTTTTTGACGTTTTTAAAATGACGCGCGGCAGTTTTGTATTTTTTCAATACAGCAATAGCAAGGGTCATAACTCCTTAACTCGTAGTTATTTTGCACACAATCCTTCTCATTTTGTGCCTCAAACTTTGAGTCAAAGTGTGTATCTATCAGAAAACTATTGTACCAAGTTATAGAAGATTTGAAGCAGTCTAGCCGTACTTATTCTTAATATGATGGCTAGACTGACCATTTACAGAAAATAGGCCTACTGAATTGTAAATGATACATTTTTAGTGTGCAGTACCTAAAGTATTTGTATTTGAGACGAAACCAGGTGCCTTAATGACAGTGCATGTATTTTAAACCTCCTGTTTTCTAATGTTAACAGGGCCTAAGATAAGTACGGCTAGACTGACAGTCTAGCCGTACTTATGTACGGCTAGACGTCTTGTCTAGCCGTACTTAAGTACGGGTAGACAGCAACGCTAGCCGTACTTACGGACGGCTAGACTGTCAGGCTAGCCGTACTTAATATTGATGGCTGAATTGTAAAGGAAATTTTTAGTTTGTAATGCCTAAAGTATTTGTATTTCTTCAGACAAAATCACAAGGTGCCTTACTAACTTGCATGTATTTGAACCTGAATAATTGCTAGATCTAGATCTAGATCTAATGAGACCTGTGTACTTAATTAACAGGCTTGAGTCGATAGGGCTAAACCTAGATCTAAGTACGGCTAGCCACTTCGATATAATTAATCATTTCTATAGATTTTGAGAAATCAGCCTTTGAATTTTCTTTTTTCCTCTTTGCACCTTGTAATTAATTATCAAATCTTTTTTTTTACAACACTTACTTCATCTTATAATATTTGAGTTTTACATCATATGAAAGTACACATTTTTAGCTTCACAGAGAACCCCAAAATAAAAATCAAGTATTTTCTTAATTTCTGGACAATCAAGGGCAGTAACTCTGTAGATTGCCAACATTTTGGTGCAAACTTTTTTTGGGAAGTCCCTAGGTCCTACCAGAGAGTCCTACCCTTTCAGAAAATCATGGTGGCGAAAAATCCCCCCCCCCCCCCCCCCCCCCCACCAGGGGAGGTTCACTCCCAGTAGCCCATAGCCTAAAGCACCTAGATCTAGACTTAGATCCAAAAGGCATTGGGTGCTGTAGAAGTAATAGTAGATCTATTAATAATATTATTATTGTAATCTTTATTATGATCATTAAATTATCACGACTGTGGAGCTCTTTTGTTTTGAAAGGTTTTGCAATGTGGAGTCTTTTGTAAACTTCGCCATCAAAGAAGTAATACATGCCAAATGAAGTACACAATACTGCGTTTAGTGTTTACAGTTTACTGTTTGCACATTGTGGACAAACACAGTATTTGTTGTAGTCTCTTGCTTCGGGTTAGAATTCTAGATTCTGAATTTAGGTAAATGTGTCTTAGGCTTACCGTGTCTTATTTCCCTACAACAGAAAGAGGCTTTCAGTTAGTATAGATCTAGATCTAGATTCTAGATCTAGACTAGATCTATCTATATCTAGATATAGATATAGATCTAATCTAGATCGATATATAATCTAGATCTAGATTAGATCTAGATTCTATATTAGATCTAGATCTAGATCTAGATAGATAATTAATACATTCTGATCATCTTCCATTGGCAATAAAGCATCCAAAAGGAAAGAAAACAGTCTGTTTCAGTGCGCAATGCAGGTCCTAAAGAAATAAGTGAAACAACTAAGGCCTAAGGCTACAAGAAGCCACACTGTCAACAATGCCAGATGTCAAACGAAGTGTATACAGACCCGGTAACCGGGAACAAAGTCACGAAGTGTACAGACCCGGTAGGGGAACTCTTTTGTGATTTCGGGAGGTTTCAGCCTCCAGACCCAGTAGAAATCTAGTGTGTGTGTGTGTGAGAGAGAGAGAGAGGGAGAGAGAGAGAGAGAGGGGGGGGGGGGGTTGCTAGTAAAATGTATGACATGCCCCACCCAGTTGGCAGGAGGGAACGAGAGAAAGATAGAGTGGGAAATAGGTCCGGACAAAGAAAGACAGAAACAAACAAAGAAAAAGAGAAGGCGAGCGATACACAGAGTAGAGAGAAAGAAAGAGAGAGAGAGAGGACTGCTCGATTGAAATTATGACATTGTAACTTGTTCTTTTGGTATTTTTTTACTTTCCCTCCCGTCTAACACTCAGCTACCAGAGTTATCTATTTTCTACTAAATATTGATGCGCTGAACACGAATATCAACTTCATTTCCGTAGCAAATTAATAGTTTTTGAAATATTTGATTGTTTTTAACCGAGATAGACATGCTTTGGACCAATCGGGGGGTTCCAGGGGGGCCTGCCCCACTGGGGTAAAAGAAAATCTGCCCCCCTGTTTTTACACCCATAATTTGATATTTTACAGTTAAATTTGAAATTGTCTTGAAAATAATTGATTTGCGACAGTTTTAGTGGCTTTATGTGTGATCTGCAGCAAACAGTACAGCAGTTTGACCCCTGAAACAGTGCATCTGTGTGTGGGAGTGAAAGTAAAAATTTACCGTTCTTTTCTTCAAATTGTGATTCCTCCATCCAACTCCAAAACGGAGGAAAAATGATCGTTCATCGAAAAGACATCTGCAATCTTCATTTAGATCTAGGCTAGCCGCGAAACTAGATCAAAGATTTAAGTCTGTCTAGATCTAGAAGAACCTAGGTCTACCCTGAGCCAAGAGGGCGCTGAAACTCTCCGAAATCACAAAAGAGTTCCTTTACCGGGTCTGTATACTTTGTGACTTTGTTCCCGGTTACCGGGTCTGTATACACTCCCAATGTCAAAAGCCGATATTGCGCTCCAAAACGGACGGGGCAAATTTGGTCCGCTTCAACTTCAGTGCGCAACCCCATCGGGCATGTTCCAGGCATTCAGAAGCAGCCTGCGATCATTTGGGCTCGATTTTAGTGTACATTCTACGATACATAAGAGCTAGATTAACCAGAAGTGCTAAATAATCGACCACTCAAGCGCTTAGTAATTCACCGACTCCGATAACGAAAACAATCAATATGAAGGGGCAAAACTTACTGACACCGTAGAATCACGTGTGTGTAGACAGGACCCTCCAAAACGAAAGTGCAATTTAGTTGTTACTCAACTGCGCATGCTCACATAAAGTAACCTCGTTTTCGCTGTTCTTTATCCAAAAAAAAAGCAGGAGACTGGGGGTTGCGCACCCAACAAGGTGCACGGTGATGCGGTTTGACTCTAGAGATATAGATCTAGATAAATAAAATCTAGATCTATATATTCTAGTCTATATATCTAGATCTAGAGATCTAAATCTAGATTATAGATCTAGATTAGATATAGATATAGAATATAGATCTAGATATAGATATATATAGATCCTACACCAACACCCCGAAGTAAGCCAACATATTATAGAATCTAGAATTAAAAATGTTGGTTTACTCCGGGGTGTTGGTGTTGGGTTTGTTGTGGGCTGTGCAGGTGCCAGCAGAAATCAGCAGACTCTAGATCTAGATTCTAGATCTAGTTTCCTGTAGGCCTATATGTTGGGCGCGATCTGTCGATGATGATCGCGCAGCGCATTCTCTCTCTCTCTTCTGACGCTGTGGCTTCATAAACGGCCATCGATGCTGACAGCACGCAGGAACTCAACACTTGCGCAGCGCATTTGGTTGATCGAGGAAATGCGCAACAATCGATGGATTGTTGCGCATTCTGTTGATCACCGGATCGCGCAGCGCTTTTTGTCGATCCGTTTGGTTGCGCATTCTATAGATCTTACTCCTGAGTTTTGTTAGATCTATGTTTTGTTGTCGTCCAGAGTGTAATTTAGATCTAGTTTCACTCTCCAAAGTCAAACCGTAACTGAATGGAAGTAACTGCAAGTCAGGGTTACAATAAAATTTAACTTCGAAGTGGCTAGCCTGAGAGTCTAGCCGTAGTAAGTAGGCCTACGGCCGTACTTAGATCTAGGTTTGGCCCTATCGACTCAAACCTGTTAAGTATACAGGTCTCATTAGATCTAGATCTAGAATCTAGTAATTATTCAGGTTCAAATAACATGCTAGTCAGTAAGGCACCTTTTGGTTTTGTCTGAAATACAAATACTTAAATAGGCATTGCAAACTAAAAATTTCAATTACAATTCAGCCATCAGTATTAAGTACGGCTAGATTGCCAGTCTAGCCGTACTTATCTTAGGCCCTCTTAACATTAGAAAACAGGAAGTTTGAAATACATGCACTGTCATTTAAGGCACCTGGTTTCATCTTAAACACAAATACTTTAGGTACTGCAAACTAAAAATTTATATTTTTACAATTCAGTAGGCCTATTTTTTTTTAATGGTTAGTCTAGCCATCATATTAAGAATAAGTACGGCTAGCCCAGCTGTCTACCCAGTACAGCTAGCCAACCAGTCTAGCTGTACTTAAGTATGGCTAGACTGCCAGTCTAGCCGTCATTAAGTACGGCTAGCCTTTTCCATTTTTACTAGATCTAGAGTATAGATCTACATCGCAATTTAACGTCAATAACGGAACTTGAAATCAGGGTTATAGGTCGGTGAGTATCACTCCGAACACTTTTATTCAATATGGAGCGGTTCACAGCGATAATGGAGAAAGAAGCGTAGTTATTGTCTAAAAATCCAGGGTCTGTTTAACTAACAATAGAGAAGTTTGACATGATTGTTGCACATTCTGTTGATCAACAACAATAAGCCATTAAATCTTGACCGTATTTGGAATACCACGTGACGTACTCAGCCTATCAAATCGGTCCAAATACTGAGTGCAGGTGCTCGATTTAACGTCGTGTCAATTTATCTGCCTCATTCAACCGTCAACACTTAAAATTCAACACACCACTCTTCTTGGAAGCAAAACAACAGGACGCTCAAAGACTGACATGCTCAGTAAACCAATTTTCTTTTTTTTTTCATTCACTGCAGTCTTCATAGTTTATCAACTTCATTTGAAAATGCTTCGAAAGGTACTGCGAGAAAACAGGATTGCTCGACGTTGGCAGTAACTTATAATTGCCTTTAGACACCCAGCAAAAAAACTTAAATCCTTATGTAAACAAAAAAAAATCCCTCCACGCCCTGTTCACACCTCACACACTCACATACACACACACAAACACACACACACACACACGCACATCTATATGCACACGCATGCACACGCACACACACACACTCACATGCACACACACACACACACACACACACACTCACACACACACACACGGGCCACTCCATTCCCAAATATAACCAAAAAATCGGGAGAAAGGAAACCGTTCGGAGAAATAGTGTTCAAGTTTATTTTCCCGAGCGTTCGGAGAAATAGAGCCCGGCTTATTCAAATGTATCAATGGTGGCAATGCTAAATTATTTGGAATTCTCTGTTTTTTTGGCTTCTAGAGTACTGGGATGTCAATACTGACCTCACTTTGCCCCCACGGGATGTCAATCAGAGACATTGTGATAGATATATAGCAACAAAAATGTTGCAGCAGTTATCTCCTTTTTGACATACACGCACTTTTTAAAGTTAAATTTTCTTTCTGAATACGGTATATAATGGCCTTTGAGGTTGAAAATCAGTCTGTAGACAGCATTTGGTGTAATGGAGTAATTTTTTTTTAAAACTGTCGAGTAGACCTAAGTGCTGTTTTACTCTTACGCCATGATGAGAATTCAGATGAAGAATGAGCTACATCTAATGTTTCCTCTTCCGATTCTAATTATTTTCCTTTTTCGGTAAACATGCGATCATTTTCAGTTTTCTCAGTAGGCCTAGATGCTGAAAATTTCATAATGGTAGGGGTCTTTTTGCCAAGATACAGACCGTATGGTACTGATGTACCGTATCTGCATCCTGGTCCGTGAAAATAGTGTTGTGCGCTGCATGGGTGGAAAGTGTTATACGCGGTATCGATGTCTTATGAAAGAGAGCTAGAGATGTGCTGCAATTTTTCAGTATTAAATTAGTATTTCACTTGGTTTTAACAAGGGTGGTTTCAAGGGGGCTTGCCCCCCTGGCCTGATAAAAGTATGGATGGTTTCAGGGGGACATGCCCTCCTGAATTTAACCATAATTTGATGTTTTGCAATTAAGTTTGATATATATGTATCACCCATGTGCATCAAACATCTTATCGGCATGCTCGTAGAAATGTAATCCTAGGTAGATCCAAAACCCACGCTCTATAGAACTGTTACAATATCGTTTGGGCCAAAACCAGATTTTATCCTGGCCCAATTATTTAGGCTGGTCAATTTAGCTTTCAATACTGTGATACTCTGCAGGATCAGTTTGGTTTGGAGTTTGGTTTTGGTGGAGAGGCACTTTAAGCTACCATCTTAGCACAACCGAACTGAAACCGATTATAATGAATGATGATTTTCAAAAACAAACCCATTTGTTTTCAAGGCTGCGAGTCAGGCATTTGGTTTGAGGGAGGGGTTTATAATTTATAGTTTGCATTGAAGCTGCCTGAAACTGAACCGAACCGATATCCTATTGCAAGTTTCCTGAAATGTCTAGACTCTAGACAGATCCTCATCTATTTAAATGTCACTTTCTGTGCAGAATTTCATTAAAATGTCGTTTTTGAGTTTTAGTAATTCTTAGAATTCTATTATGATTTATTGTACAGGTAGTCCATGACGGGGATGCCATCACTGTCTTCTTGAGGGATGCCCAAAAGTGCCAGGTCCACTGTTCCCACAGCATGGAAGTTGATGATTGTCATCTCAGTGCTGTATTTGTTGTGCGTATGGCTTGGGTACAGACATCTCGAGCGGACACTGTTTCAGAGAAGGAGCAGTGGCCAAGTCTTTCAGCCGAAACTCAGCAAGGTAAAAGAAAGACCTAATAAAATTCTGCATCCTCAAGAGACTTTTAACAATGGTAATTTTGTATAAAGTTAAGTGATTCATGGCGCACAGAAACAGGATACTTTAGTTGAGAGCTCAGGTAGCCAGTGGCGTGCTGACCTTTGACATGGAGCGGGGTCATCGCTTGGGCATTCTTCGGTCACCGTGACCGCGCGGGAGGTTTAGAAAATCGTATTTTTCATCCTGAATTGAGCTCTAATTAATGCAATAATATTGGCTGAAAGACATCACTGCATGCGGGAATCAGTAGTTCCAAGCCTTTTTCATGATATTTCAAAAACAAAGAGAATCAGTATTGGTCTGTTTAGTTGTAACAGACAGTGCAAGATGGTCTTGTCTGATTCCCGTTAACGTTTCTAGTTATGACGTAACGAGCGTCGACAATTAGAAAACTGCGCGTCAGGCTACGTTCATCTTTGAAGGACATAAACGTAATACTTAAGGGTATCTACTCACCAAAATTTCACTGCTACCGCAGTTTCCGTAACCTCAAAATGGTTGATCTATGCACCACATTGCTGTAAATATCCACACATTTCCCTCACTTAACTCCATACGAATTATGGCAGAGGCTATAGGTTTTATTATATATTTACACGTGTACTGAATCATTGTGTCCGCATGTTGTACATCTACGTGTTGGTCACTGACTGGGACAACAGACTGAGGGTGGGTGTGGCAAGTGTGACTTGTACTTGTGTGTGGGTCGTTTTTTGTGTTGAGTCTGTGCTGAGAGCACGGGTACATGTACTCTGTGTGGTTGTGTCTGTCTCAGAAATGTTGGTACTAGGACTAGCTTGGTGTGTGTATTTTTCATGGCTGCTGCAGTGAGACTGGGGGTCACGGGACTTTACTGTGGCACAGCCAAGAGAGAGAAGTTTTTTCTGTTCTCTGACTGCACATTTTTGCATCACAGTCTTCCCTGTAAGCACACCAAATGTGTTGACCACTGTCAAAAGTGTCTCTCATTGTTTGTAGGGACTAGGGACACTGCACTATTTCGACGTTTAGTGTCATAGATTGTTTTATATAGCATTTCAAACACACAAATTTGGAGTGTTCCACCCAAACACAAGTAAGAGGTCACTGGCTATATCCGAACACAAACGCGGCTTTTAAAAGGATTTTCTCTGCTTCCCTGTAACGTTCAGTCTTCCGCACACTCTACACAGACTGTTCAGGGGTGTGCTCCATTTTAAGGTCTTCGGTTTATACGGCAATAACGTTAGTAAATTTGTGGGCCTAACATAATAATCAGATGTAGCTTAACAACCTCAACTGCGGTAGTACTGAAATTTACACACTCAAAACAGGATTTGTTACTGAACACGCACATACTAATCCCCAAAAAATTCAATGCACCGTTTTGTAGCAATAATTGATTATTTATCCCCAGTTTGAAATAAGAAAAGCGTGTTACACAGGCAACAAACAGACACGTGTAGAACACTTGGTATAAAACGTAGAAGACTGGGACTTTCTTCAAGAGGAGGAGAAACGGTGCTGCTAAAGTCTATAAATTAAAACTAATTGGTTGGTCTAACGGCACCACTGTAATTGAGATAGTGATTGAGACCAATTTATCAAGAACTCACCCCAGTTTATAATGGTGCGACGAAGTTAAATGACCCCAATAAAAAAGGTCAACAGGTACCGCGCGGGGTGATTAATTACCTCTGGACAGCAGGAGCTGCGGTGCAACTAAAAGGTGCGATTTCGGCTGATTTCGTGCGCCGTGGATTATAATGATTTTTTTTTTTGTGTGTAGAGTAAAGACAAGGTTATTCAACATGGGATGCTGCTGATTTTTGCATGATACAGATTTTTAGAACGAATGTTTTTTTGTGCTTTTGATTGTTGATTTGTGTATTGACCTCAGTTTCTCCGCTTTTGTCTAATGTTAGTTCAGAATGACAATTATGCATGGGCAGTTGTCATTGGCTAGCCAGTTGATTGTTGTTCTGTCTTTCAGTTAATGAGGAGCTGTTTACATCCGCAACATGGACTCTGGATCTCTTATCTCTTTGCCAATGTGTTTTCTTCCTGTCCTGCCTTCTGGAACCAGCCTCTTTGGTGTTAGATATGAGTCAAACAACTGGGCTGAGTGCTCATTAGAAAACACGCAAAATCTAAATTGCTTCGACGGACCACCAACTTTCAAGGATAAAAGTGGTTGCTTTAGATAGGTGGATGTTTTGAACTGTGTCATTATGACATAGAAAAAACATGGGGGCGGTGATAGTGGTCGTTTGTACCGTAAAAACACAGGGTGGGGGTGGACAGTGGTTGTGTGTACAGAGGCTTATAATTTTGAATAGGTGGCTGCTAGAGCTTGTTCGACAGTATTTATGTCTGGAAGAGGTTTACTCATATTTACTTAGCCTCAACAAGTCTATAATATAGTCAAACCTGTCTAAGATAGCCTATTATGGAGGAGAAAAGTGGCCATTTTATCATATTGCCGTCTTACCTGGTGTCATTATAATGTTATAAATATGCGAGGAAGGAAATGGGAAGTGGACGTACGTTACATGTGATTGTCATATATACAGGTGGCCGTTGGAGCAGGTTCGACTGTATTTGTGTCTGGAAGAGGTTTACTCATATTGACTTGGTCTCAACTGATATATAATACACTCTCTTTTTTTAATTTTAACTTGATCTCACTGTTTAGGATGGCCTCCAGCTGTATGTGAAGCAATGCCCGGTCACCTACAGCCAGCGGCATGGGCACTTGTCAGGGCCGGTTGACACCAGGCTGGCCAAAGCTTTAAAACCGGGAATGTGTCAAGCGTCTGCAAGGCCAGTGCGAACAAATATACAGGTGAGTCTAACTACGGTGATTACTGTGGCTGGAAAGGAGATTTGGATTTTGGTCATCTTCTAAGTGATAATCATTAGAATCACAATTTTTAATAAATGTGTATAAATTTTGTTTCTTCTTCAGTGTAGAAAACACCTAAAGACCTTTAGGCTATTGCCTACTTGTTTAAGATTAAGGGAAGACCAGCATGCTTTTTTCAAAATCCGTAATGCACAGACTTAACAATCATCTAAGGTTTTTTTATATGACTTGGGGGGTCTTGTATGTTATTCAGGTAGTCAGATGGACTCTACTTCTGCGCTCCAGGCAAACTTTTACACTTTTGGGTGTCATGACCCCCAATAAAGCGTTATTTTAATGCGGGCGTAATTTTCTTATCTATAAAGCTACAGAGTTAATATTTTCACAGAATAAACTCAGTATAGGTAGCTGCAACCTGTTAGAGGATTTTTTTTATATCGTTTAAAATAAGCGAGATATCCCGGATTGTAACACATGACTGGCTAAAACACCGCAATTGTCCTTAAAATCACTCCCTCTGAGGCATATAGAACGTAGTAAATGAAAAATATTCCATAAATCAAAAAAAGCCTCTAACTCTAACAGGTTGCAACTACGCCAATTATCCACTCTGAGGCCAAATTTCAAGGGAATCCCACAAACAGCCTCCGAAATCTCGCTGCACTAAAACCCCATACCCCTAAAAATATCGAGAAAACGCAAAAAAGCGCAATGCAAAAAAAAAAAAATGCGTTCGCATTGTTATTACTTTTTGTTCAAACGCAGACAGATTAATGCAATGTTCGTCTTTTTCAGTATCTACCACTGCACTTTACCGATCACACAGTTTGGAATAGAACTGTGTAAAATGGAATAAGAATACAGTTTGGAACGATGAGATAATACCATTTATTTCTAGAGAATAGCACAAGGAAAGGGGAACAAAATTACCTCAAAGCTTGAAACAGGGCAATCATAGTCGTTCTTTATTCAGAATAGTAAAGCGATAGGAGAAACACTTCTAAACACTGAAGTACATTTCTGAACAGGTGAGATTTTCAGGATAAAATTTGTGTAAGTTGTGAGGTGTATATTTTTCTTCCTAAAATATAATTATTTCATCTTGAACTTCCATCCAAAAGTAACCGGCTTTGACTTTTGACAGTGGCATCACAAAAAACAAACAAGAAGCCCCACTTCTGTTAGCTGAGGTAGATGACTGGTACTGGTAACATACCCGATAATGCCGACAGTTTAAACTTAAAATCTGATTCAGGTCTGATCACTTGTACATAATTGGTATTGCTTAGCAAAGCATTTTGCATTGCAAGCTGAAGACGGGAGTTCGATTCCGTATCAGAAAGATGATTTTATCCTGTACCTCTGCACTTACTGTAACTTTTGGGACGAAAGATATCCTAAATTCTCGACCGCGGTGATAAAAGTAGGATGTCCAGCAGGAGTGGGATTGTTGGACAAGCATGGTCTGTCATATTTTTGGTAATAGCTAGCTTTTCGTAAATAGTCTGTTTGTATGTTGCATTTTGGACGTTTCCTCATTGTTGACACAGTGAGGAACACATAATTATGTTGTGGAATAAAAACAGTACATTATAACGAGCTGCATTAAAAAATATGTAATTACTAGAATGGAGAGGATTACAGATTGTGAACAAGAAAAAGAAAAAACAGTGAACCTCGTGTTGAATGCAGCGAATATGTCGAGTCCAAAGTTCAAGACTTTCTGCCCCCGGAGCATTTCAGATGCCAGTGCCAAGCTACCATGGCAATGCTGGCTTATCTTGGGATCCTTTCGACTTCTTGAATCAAAAGCTCTTTGCATTTTATAGACAGATACTTTCCGAAGTTTTGGCCCAAATTTACCACCACCTAAGTTTAGAATTCAACAACTAGTGAACATGTCTACCGTCAGCTATATTTGGTTCACGAACTTGATCAGTAATATGTTATGGAAATAAGTAAAATCGTCCAGTAACACATACCGAGATAACACCTTCTCTCTCTCTCTCTCTCTCTCTCTCTCTCTCTCTCTCTCTCTCTCTCTCTCTCTCTCTCTCTCTCTCTCTCTCTCTCTCTCTCTC